CAGTTTGATTAAAATATAAATCTAATATAGTTGATGGTTATTTAGGTTAATATTTTCAAATCAATGCAGGTAAATACTAAAAACAAAAGAAAAACTCGCACATTTCAAGGAAAAGGCTTCGGAAATGAAAAATAAATTTTTTTTCACATTTTTTCACATTAGGGCAGCATTAAAATATATATTTGAGTAAAATGTACAAAGTTCACACCGTAATTCTATATATTATCATCAAAAATATTTCGTCAAAGTTACTCGTATACTCAATTATTTAATAAAAAGCAAAGCTTCGGAGATGAAATTAAATTTTTACTCGGGCCAATACAGTACCGGCCAAAATTGTCAGTCCACACATTTTTGAAGGAATGAAAAAAATTTTTTAACATAAAATGTATAAAAACTCAAATTTTTTTGGTTTATATTTTGAAAGACGATAAAATTTTGAAAAGAATAAGACCTCACAGAAGTCATTTGGCAAATATTTTTTCAAGATATTCTTAAAAAATCGTCATTTTCAATGTTTTACAAAAATTTAAATAACTTCTAAAATAATGAACGCTTTTTAATAATCTTAGGCTTATTTTAAAGGTCATTTTCTACAGAATAAGAATTACTTATAGGCATTAACCTGTAATTTTTTTCTTGGAATAAGCATGACGTCAAAGTTGGACAAAAAAATTAGAAAAATTTGAAATAAATTTTTTGTACTAAAAACTATTCTAGAACATATATAAAACATGATATGGTGTAGATTCTTCAAGAAAATTTAATAAAAAAAATATGTTTGAATTTCAAAAATTATTTTTCTTTTAATAATATTGTTTCAAATTTTTTGAATTTTTTTGTCCAACTTTGACGGCATGCTTATTCCAAGTAAAAAATTACAGGTAAATGCCTATAAGTAATTCTTATTCCGTAGAAAATGACCTTTAAAATAAGCCTAAGATTATTAAAAAGCGTTCATTATTTTAGAAGTTATTCAAATTTTTGTGAAACATTGAAAATGACGATTTTTAAGAATATCTTCTACAAATTTTGGCCAAATGACTTCTGTAAGGTCTTATTCTCTTCAAAATTTGATCGTCTTTTAAAATATAAACCAAAAAAAAATTTAGTTTTCATGAATTTTATGTTAACAAATTTTTTTCATTCCTTTAAAAATGGGTGGACTGACAATTTCGGACGGTACTGTAAGTAAAATTTGATTATTCATAAAAGCAATAATTCCCCTCCTTTTCACAAATAATAATATATAGGCAAATTAAACGTCAGACACTCAACTTTATTTTAGTGTGCATTAAAATTTTGTTTAGAATAGTTTTAATGTATAAAAATATCATTAATCATGGTGAGGTAATTTTAACCTAAAACTGAAGACAAAGTTTTAACATTTCTATCATATATAAAACGGAGGTCTAAAAATTTTTAAAAAGCACATAATGATAGAAAAAACATTTTACTTTCTGACACTATTTTTTAACAAATTTTAAGAGTTTGAAAAAACGCATCAAAATTTAATTTTCTTATAGAAAACCTATTGGAGACATGCTAAAAAGGCTTCGGAGATGAAATTATTTTAGCTATTGCATTAATTCAGTAGAATAAAATTGTTTAATTTTTTCTTTTTAATGATAAGTAAGTGCTAAATTTTTACTATGAAAATGGTTAACAATTATTAGAGAGTAGATTTTATAAAATTAGTCGAGAAATTAAAAATGTCACAAAATGTCAATTTTAGAAAAATCACCCATATACCAATCGATCCGTCTTGGTGCAAAGAATAAGATTTTAGAAATAAATAATTTTTTGATAAAAATGCGAATTTTTCAGCTTTAATTGTGATTATCTCTATAAATTCTCATACAATTTATACTTTGTATAGACCAATCGATTCGTCTTGATGCAAAGAATAAGATTTTATTATATATTAACTTCAATAACCAATTAATTTGATCTTTATTATAAAAGAATATTTGCGCAAATAAGATTGATTAATAAGCATAGACAAAGAATATTGATCTTAAAGAATAAAAGGTTGTGTGCAAAATCATGGGTCGACGCTTGTTGGTGCAATTCTAATTTTCCTGAATTCCCTGACTTTCTTGACCTGTGGCAACCCTGTAATATTAATAAATAAATAGTAATATTGTTTATTATGCAATATAATTAATTTATAATTATTAAAATATAATATTATATTATAATAAATAATATTAATAAATAATTTTAATAATTACTTTCACTTAACATTACTTTCATTTTTTATTTACTTTTTCTCTAATATTTTTTTTTTCATTTTAGATGCACTTTCCTGTGATGAAGCGAAGTCTAAGTCAAGTGACAAATTGTGGAACTAATTAAATCACTGATGGGCCTTCAAGTGTAACGCTAGTGAACAGAAAATCAAAATTGCCCCAAGTTTGTGGCGATACTTTCATAACTCTCAATTTCCTGGCGGTTTTGAGAGAAATGCGTGTACCTCAAAAGGAAAATCATTTAATTAGAGCTAAAAAGTCATTTTAACCTTTTTGACTGCTGAAGGTAAATAGTTCAGTCCGAATTTTCTGCTCCTCGTCATAACCTCCAAACGCCCAAGTATATAAATATTCATATTTCGATATCGGAAAAAATTGGTTAAAAAGCGAGACAAACTTTTCCAATTCGGCAGAATCGAGAATTTGGCGAAACTGTGTTACATGGATTCTAATAAATTCTCAATGAGGTACACGTATGTTCCTACAAAACCGGAACAAAATATAATTGGAAAAACTGAAAAGACAATATTTCTTCAGTGCAAATCTTTTAGACATAACCCCAAAAGTCCTAATAAAAATAAAAAATTAGCACTTATATTTTTTTATTTTTTATAATTTTTCACTACTTTTACTTCCTAATGTATTCATATTTACTGTATTTTTTATTTTTCACTAATAATCGCATATTTTTTGGTAAACAATTTTTATCTGACAAATTCAAATCAAAACTAGCGTTTTTCATGTATTTTCCGAATTTTTTTTTATTTAATCAAACCTGACACTTTAATTTCTGTGTCAGGTGACCCGAAAAAATTGAGATGTCCCAAGAACTTTTGTTACCCGATATATATAAATACACACCCACATAATAAACGTTTAACATTCTCCTGCGTGTTTTCAGACCTTACCTATACCAAAAAAAAGAAAATTATAATTTCAAGTCACGCAAAACCGAAATTTATGGTGTCACACGTATGTGTATTTTATATATACATACATATTTAATATATCTGTAACACTCACCCCTCGTCAAAAAAAAAAAAAAAAAATAGAATGGGGGAGAGAAAAAATCACGCATCTCCATAAATCTTTTTAACTTACATAATGTTTATAATAGGGGGTCCAAAAATAAAATGTCATCAACATTATTTTCTCAATAATAGAAAACCAATTTTCAATCTCAGTATATGTCATTCAATTTAATGTACTACGATAATTCGGAAAAATCAATCATGTAAAATGTAAAAGTGATGATAAAAAAAAATTCACCACTTTTCATAAATCTTCAAAGAGAAAATATTTTGGTAAACAAATATTTTTTTTTCGTTAAAATTTCTAGTCGTTTTATTTCAAAAACTTTTAGTTTAAATATTTTCGTGTTAAAACAAAAGTTTAAAAGTCGTTTTTTAAATTATAAACATTCAATTAAAAAATTTTTTTTTATTCTTTACAATAAAAATTAGAAATCAAATTTTAATTATATAATTAAATAAATTATTGTTATTATATTGTGTTTGTAATTAAGCATTTAAATTTTTTTTCCACTTCCTTATTTGTTTAATAACATTTACAATTATTTTCAATTTAAAAATTTAACAATATAAATAAAATAAATGAATAAAAATAATATAAATAATAATTTAAAAAACTTACTATCAATTTAATTTATTAAAAAATTTTTTTTATTTACATAAATTTTAATTCAATTTATTATTATTTTTTCAATTCAAACGAACTTTGATTAAATTTATTTTTAGTTTTTTAAAATATAAATTTTTAATGGAATCTATTTGCACGTTTTTTTAAATATAAATAAATAATAATAATTTGAAAGCTGTTAATTTAATTTACTTAAAAAAAAATTATTTATTTCTTTATAAAAGGAACGAGTTCTTTCGTTATGATTTTTTTAATTTAAACGAATTTTGATTAAATCTATTTTTAGTTTTTTTGAACAGAAATAAATTTTAATTGAATATGTTTTTACTTTTTTTAAATATAAATAAATAATAATAATAATAATCTAAAAGCTATTAATTTAATTTATTTGAAATTTTTTAACTTACTTAAATTTTAATTCAATTATTGTAATATTTTTTAAATTTAAATGAATTTCGACTAAAACTAATATTAATTTTTTTGTATACAAATAAAATTTACTCGAATCTATTTTTACTTATTTTTAACTATAAATAAACTACAATTAAATCTATTTTTAGTATTTTTACTTCTTTGTAATATAAATAAATTATAGTAAAATTTATCGAAATGAAATTTATTGAAATTAAATTTATTATTTATTAAAATTTATTAAAATTAACAAATAAATTAAAAATTTTTTATTTATTTTCAAATTATTTAAAATTATTCGATTTATAAATTTTTTAGTTGAGTACAATATTCAAATTTTATTTCAGTTCTATTTTCTATTCTGAATTCTTTTAAAACTCCCTTTTAAAATCAATATTCAAATTAAAATTTGCAAATGACAATTGAAAGTATAATTTCAAAAAAAAAAAAATTTTGTACTTACAGAAGTAATTTATCAATAAAATTTACATCTGAGAACAAAATAAAAATTCAGAACAATTGAAAATTGAAATTTTTTTAAAAAAGAATACTCTTAAAATTTTTGTTTAAAACCAAAGGTTTCAAAATATGTAAAATATTCAAAATGTGGTAAAAACTTTTTTTTAATTAAAAAAAAATGAATAATTGTAAATAAATAGAATTTTTGAGTAAACTTACAAGTAGAAAAATTGTAGCAACTGGTGTATATTTATTTTTTCTACGAATAATAATAGTTTTTACACATTTTTGTCACTCACTTTTTCGTCTTGAATTTCAGCGAATCATCGCAAAATGAAAATATTCCACAAATTGAACATTTTTCCCATAAAAGGGAAATTTAGTGATTTTATGGGGTGGGAGGAGGTAATTTGACAAATTTTATCTCACGTCTTGATGGAGGGATTTTGTTTATTTTGGAAAAAAAGAAAAAAAAACCCCGAAGGGAAAAATGTTGGGAGCTTTTTTTCTAAAAAAAAAGACTCCAAAAAAGCACGATATTCACCGTAGACGGCAAAGAACGCGACTGCGTGCTTTTCGTGCTTTCAGCTTTCTTTAACCCGCCTGGTGAAAGCAATATATAGACTTGTTCTGTGCAGGCTTTGAGGGTGACAAAACAGGGACGGAACCATTTAGGGCGGATAACAACCCCCTTGCTGTTTTCCAAAACAATCCACTTATAGAATTATCCCATTCAATTTTCCGCCTCCTATATCTCTTTCATTCTCAAAACAAGTGGAGATTTTCATCTTTTTTCTTTTCTTTTCCTCTCCTTCTTATTTCTTTAAATCTTCTTTTTTCATTTGTTTTTTTTTATTTTTTTTCTAGGGGGAAAGTTTCTTATTATTTGATTTATTGGAATTAGGAAAATTTTTCTTTTTTTCTTACCTCATTTTTGATAAATGGATTTTCCGAGAAAAAAAATTTCAAAAAATATTGAGTGGAAAAAAATTAATTAAAATTTTGACTTTAAATAAATAAACAAAAAAATATATAAATATTGAATGGAAAAAAATTTATCAATTAAAATTTGACTTTAAATAAATAAACTAAAAAAAAATAAAAATATTAATAAAAATTCGATTTTAAATAAATAAAAAATAGCAAGAAAAGAAAAGCAAATAATTGACAAAAAAAAGAATAGCGAAAAAAATGAAGGCAAAAATAATTAAATGTTGAAACCATAATAAATAAATCGCGAAAATATAAAATGAAAAAATTTGAAATATAAAAATCGAATGACAAAATTTACACCGGAAAAATAGGAAAAAAAATTGTAGAAATAATTTTTCTTTTTTTTCGATAATAATTGTACCTAATAATTGACAAAAAATATCGTCAACTATAAAATTGAATACACAATAAACAAACAAAAACAAATAAATAACAAAACAAAGTAAAAAAGAAAAATAAATAAGAGTAAAGATGTAATGAAAAAAAAATTTTAAATAAAAAAATAGAGTAAAATAGGTAAATAAATGAAAATAAATAAAAAATAAAAAAACAAATAAAAAAGTAAATGAAAATAAACAAATAAATAGAAATTTAACAGGAAAAACATCTTTGTGAATAAATATAACAAAAAAATAATAAAAAATTAAAATTCACTTTTCCATGAAGAAAATTTGATCTTCATCGAAAGAAATCTCATTTCTCTTTTAAATCAAAGAATAATAACTTTCTTTTGTAATAAATTCTAAGGGGTCATCGATTTATTTTAGTCTCCTTTAATATTTAAGGGTCAATCAGTCTGGAATTCGATTTTTATAGCTGTTAAATATTCATTTGACAGAAGCAAATTATTTGCAGATACAAGTGCAGGAAGCCTACAATAATTCTTGATATTTCCATTTAAAAAAAAGATAAGAAAAAACAAAAACATTTCCTATTCGAATTTTTTTTTAACATTTTTTTTTCTAGAAAACTTAAGAATATGATTTTTATTATAAATTATAAAGAAAAAATAATTTTTTAATAATTTTAAATTTAATTTTAAACTTTAAAATATTTACTTAAAAATCATCGATCAATTTCAATTTTCATAGATTCAGCTTTCCAATTTTCGATTTTTTTAGTTTTTGATTTCAAAATTTTCAAAATTCAATTTTCGAAACTAGTTTCTTCTCATTTTTAAAAAATTTAAATTTAAATTTAAAAAAATCTTTTAAAAATTTCAATTTTCAATTTTAATTTCTTTAAACTTCAATTTGTAAATTATAAAACGAAAATATAATTTTTATTAGGAAAAAAAGTCAATTTTTCGGTAATTTTAAACATTATAAAATATTTATTTTAACTTTAGTGTTAAATTTCAATTGTCAAAATTCCAACTTTTAAATTTCGATTCTTTAATATTTTTTATTTCAAATTTTCAATTTTAATTTTCAAAACTTTAATATTTTAATTTTCAATTTTCAAATTCCGATTTTCAAATTTTCTTCCAATTTTTAAAATTTGAATTTTCAAAGAAGTAAATTTTCAATTTTAATTTTCATAACTTCAATATGTTAATTTCAATTTTTTAATTTTTTAATTTTTAAAATTTTATTTTGCATTTTAAATTATCAATTTTTTAAATTCAAATTTTCGAATCATTAGATTTTTAAATTCAAATTTTTTTTTTTAAAACTTCAAATAATTTAATTTTTTAATTTTCCAAATTCCAATTTCCGACACATTAGATTTTTAGTTTCAAATTTTCATTTTCAAATTAAAATTTTGAAACTCTAATTTTAAAATTTAAAATTTCATAACTTGAAGTTTTGAAAAATTTTCCTTTTTCACATTTTTAAAAATTATTTTTATTAAAATAAATTTATCTATTTTTGTATAAAAATAAAAAATTGATATTCTTTATAAAATTAAAAAAAATTACTTCTATAAATAAATAAATAAATAAATAAATTTTCAATGATAATTAATTAGAAGCGATTTTTCCCCCGTTTCATTCGATAATTACTCAGTTTAAAAAAAAATATTTTTTAATATTAAATTAAATTCTTAAAAATAATAACTTTTTCCCACATTTAAAGTATTTTGTTTAAATATAAATTTGGAAAAATATTATTGCCTCACAGAAGAGGAAAGAGAGAGATATATATATTTTTATATTAAAATATAGTGCCCTGTTGCGTACCTGTTGCTCTTATCTTGTTACTTTCCTGGCAAGGAGTCCAGATGTAATGAAAAAAGCCGGATGTGAAGAGCGCAGGATCGTTTCCTCGCAGTCTCAATGCATTTTGATGTCACAAAAGTCCCACTGTCCGACTTTAAAGTTCAACACTATAAAATTCCGTGTCATATCGGTCATCAATCTGAAAAAAAGAGAAAAAAAATTCTATTTCAAGGTGAAATTCACAATATATAATGAAGCTCTATTTTTTCTTTGTCTTCAAAAATTCACTTTTTTCAATAAACAAAATTTTTATTTCTATTTAGAAATTAATTGAATTCTCAATAATCAACCTCTTTTTCATTTAAAAATTTCTTTTTTCTAAATAATCGTTTTAGAAAAATCTTTCTTTGTATTCTGAAATTAATTAAATTCGAATTTTTAATAATTATCGTCTTTTTTATTTACGATTTTTATAATTATAAATAATAAATATAAAATTCATTCTATTTTGAAAATTAATTGAATTTTATGTTTGAACCCGAAATTTATTGAACAGAATATTAAATATTAATTAAAAATATTTTATATAAATTAATTGTTTAAATAATAAATTCGAATATTTACTAATTATCGTTTTTTCTATTTTCGACTTTTTTTATAAATTATAAATTAACGCTTTCGATTTATTTTGTAAATTAATTGAATTTTATATTTTAACTCTAAATTTATTAAACATAATATTAAATATTAATTCAAACATTTTATAAAAATGAATTGTTTATTATTATAAAATTCGAATTTTTATCTAATTGATTTTCAATTAAATTAGAATTATTATAAAATTTATGTTTAATAAAATTCACATTTAATTAAATTCGAATTTTTATCAAATTCATTTTTTTAAATTCACTTGTATTTAATTCGAATTATTATAAAATTTAATTTTAATGAAATTTGATTTTTATAAAATTCAATTTTAATAAAGTTCAAATTATTATAAAATTAACATTTAATTATATTCGAATTTTTATGAAATTCATTCTTAACAAATTTTGATATTTAAAAAATTCATTTTTAAATTTAATAAAACTCACTTTTAATTAAATTCAAATTTTTTAAAAATTTATTTTTATAAAATTATAATTATTAACAAATTAATTTGCCAATAATTCAGATAAATTTTTGAAATTCTAATGTCTATAAAATTCATTTTTATCAAAATTCGATTTACCTAATATAAAATTTATTTTTAATAATAAAATTCAAATTTTTTAAAAATTAAACATTAAATCAAATTTGAATGTTAATAAAATTTATTTTGTAAAAGAATTATAATTTTCACAAAATTAATTTCCAACAAAATTTATTTTTAATAAAATTCATTTTTAAAAAAATTTGAGTCTTTTAGAAAAATTAATTTTTAATCAGATTCGAATATTTGTAAAATTTATTTTTAATAAAATTCTAATTTTCAACAAAATTAATTTTAAATTCAATTCGAATTTTTATAAAATTCATTTTCAATAGAATTATAATTTTCACAAAATTAATTTTCAACAAAATTTATTTTTAATAAAATTCATTTTTAAAAAAATTTGAGTTTTTAGAAAAATTCATTTTTAATAAAATTCGAATTTTTATAAAATTTATTTTCAATAAAATTCTAATTATCACAAAATTCATTTTTAATTCAATTGAAATTTTTATAAAATTCATTTTTAACTAACAATTGAATTATAAAAAAGAATAAAAAACGTTTTAAAGTTGAAATAAAAGAAAAAAAAGTAATAGAATTTAATTTTAAAACTTGTTTATTATTTTCTCACCTCAAAAGAAATAATCTTCATTAAAGTTGGAGAAATTTGATTTTTCTGACATCGCTTCTTGACGAAGAGTTGGAAGACAATAATTGTCAGTGCTCCATTGAATTATATAACCATTATTAACCGCAGTAATTAAACTGTCTTTCACTTCGGCCCTTAAATTGTCCCCTCGTTTATTACAAGTTGGATAATAAAGTTGCAAATGATTAAGAATCAACGATGAAGGCACATAAAGTCGTCTCATTTGCAATTTCTCGACAATGTCGCGTATTATCTCGGGCGTTATTGTTTTTCCACATCTTAATGGTCCTAAATCACAAACACAAAACAAATAAATAAATAAAAATGCAAAAACCATCAATAAATAAAAAAATACAAGAATGATAAATTAATTAATTGACATGAAAATGCAAAAATACGAAAGTATAAAAATACGAAAATACAAAAATACAAAAATACAAAAATAGAAAGAAACGAAACTAGAGAATTATGAAAATACAAAAGTACAAAAATACAAAAATGTGAAAATACAAAAATAGAAAAATACGAAAATAGAAAAATATGAAAATACAAAAATAGAAAAATAATGAATAAATGCAACAAAAATTTTACGGTGATAAATTTTATTATAAATAAATTAATATACTTTTTTAAACAATTAAATAATTAATATAAAACATATTTACTATTAATTCCATTCATGTTATTCTGAAAGTGTGCATTTTTAACCGGACATTTTGTGAAAATTTGGAAATTTCTTTTTTGTTCCCTTTAAATTATGAAAATTAATGGTTTATGAAAATCCGACGACATGATAAATTTTATGTTGCGAAAAAACATTGTTTTTTCACATTAATTTTTATATTAAAAAAAATGATTTCTTCCTTTTTCATTTCGTAAAGAAATTTTACGTCGACGCCGAGACATTTTGAAAAACAAAAGTGAATCTACTTTTCACAAAAATTTTGTGGTTAATAAATTCTTTTTATTTCTATTTTTATTTTCTCTTCTTTAGAGAGAATTTTTGCGATTTTTTCGCAAAATTCCCGGTCTCAATTATTACTTTTATATTAATTATTTAACATTCATATTAAAAATTCATTTATTTAAATAAAATATATTTTCCGTTTACAAAATTTGTTTATTTAACAATATACGTTCAACGAGGTTATAATTAATTAAAGTGTTAAATACCTATTTAGTAATAACATTAAGCCTTAAAATTAATTGAGTCAATACCTAAATTTCAATGTTTAACAAATAAAAAACGAAAGTGGAGAACTAATTATTTTTAAATATTTTACATAAGAAAGCAAATGAAAAAATATCAAAAAGCAGAAAAAATCTTATCAAAAATCGCTAAATAAGTGAAATTTTACAAATTAAAAATTTCTTTTTAAAACATTTCAACATTCTTGAACAAAAACGAATGAAGAGAAAGTAATTCAAAAATTTTCCAAATGATAAAGTTTCAGTTTCGAAAAAATTTTCCCCTTTTGTGTAATTTTAGAAAAAATTCATGAAAATAACAGTTTTTTAACTTTATACGACAAAAGTTGAGAAAACAAAGTTTCTAATTATTTTTACAAACTATTATTTTATTTAAAGTTAATTTTATTATCATCTAAATTCGTTCGTATTTGAAATGTAAAAAATGTAATAATAATGAAAAAATATGATTAAATATAATAAAAAAAAATGAAAAAATTACTATAAAAAAATATAGAATAACGAAAAATTAACTATAATAATTGTTTACAATAATCATGGGGAAAAAAATATAAAATAAAATACCTATTTATTCATTTTTTTGAATGGGACGATTTCTTAATATTTTCTCCATTGCCGGTTGCAATTTAAGTCCACAAAGTTGTGAGAGTGCACTTCTCTTTGCTACACCAATATCTCGTCGTGCCCTTCGATATTCATTTATTGGCGGGGGTTTTCGTTGCACGGGATTCTCATGTATCTTAATAACATGCTCAGCAAGTTTTTGTTTCGTTGACAATTTTCTCGAGCACAATTCACATTGAAATCTAATGTCCTTATGATGCTGACGAATGTGTGAATTTAAATTTCTCCGATATTCATATTCCTGCTTACAATCATCGAATGGACATTTAAATATTAACGTTTCTAAATGTAATTGTGTCATGTGACTCCTCAGACAGGACTTAGATAAAAATTTCTTTTTACAAATATCGCAAAAGAATTCTGCAAAGAAAAAAGAAGAAATTAAAATTTTCAATCTTAAATCAATTGTGAAAATAATTAAAAATTTTAAAGAAAATATTGCAAAACCAAAATTTAAAATATTCACTTATTAGGTACATAATTAATTATTATTGTTTATATTTTCACAAATTTTAATATAATTCTTCGAAAGAATTCAATTATTTAAAAAAAAAAAATAACAATCTTCGAAAGAATTCAGTTATTTTTAAAAATAATAAAACTTTTTGCAAAAATTCAATTATTTTCAACAAAATTTTAATAAATCCTTCGAAACAATTCAATTATTTTTTTAAATAGTAAAATCTTTGCGAAAATTCAATTATTATCAATAAAATTTTCAAAAAAAATTTAATTATTTTCTAAAATTTTAATAAAATTCTTCCTAAAAATTCAATTATTTTCAATACAATCTTAATTAAATTTCACCACAAAATTTAAATTTCCATCGAAACAATTATATTAGTTTTCAAAAATTTTAATAAAAATTTTTGCAAAATTTCAATTATTTTCATAAATAAAAAAAATTTTCAAAGAATTCCAATTATTTTCAAAAGTTTAAATGAAATTCTCCCTAAAAATTCAAATATCTTCATAAAAAATAAAATTGTTTGGATGATTTCAATTATTTTCATTAATAATAAAATTCTTCGGAGGATTTCAATTATTTTCAAAAATTTGAAACAAATTCTTATCAAGAATTCAATTTTTTGTCATAAATTATTGAATTCTTTACAGAATTTCAATTATTTTCAAATATTTGAAACAAATTCTTGTCAAGAAATCCTTTCGAAGTAAAATACATGGCAAAAATTAAATTATTTTTTGTTAATAATAAAATTCTTAGGAAGATTACAATTATTTTTAAAAATTTTAATAAAATGCTTCCTAAAAATTAAATTATCTTCATAAAAAATAAAATTCTTTAGGAGATTTCAATTATTTTCATTAATAATAATATTCTTCGGAGGATTTCAATTATTTTCAAAACAATTTTAATAAACTTCAAAAATCAAATATTTCATTATATTCATTAACAGACACGATTATTTTAAAAAGTTAAAAAAATTATCTGTTTAAGTCAATTATTTTCAAAAATTTTCAATTAAAATTTTTCAAAAAACTACATTATTTAAAAAGAAGCAGAAAGAAATTCATCAAAATTATTTAATTATTTACAAAAACTCTAATAAAATTGTTTAACAGAGTTAAATTTTCTATAAATAATTTTAATAAAATTATAATAGTAAAATTATTAATTACAGTTATGAAGGAAATCGATTATATTCAATAAATTAAAGAAATTTTTTGAAATAATTCAATTATTGTCAAAATCTTTAATAGTATCTATTCTTCGAAAGAATTTAATTATTTTCTATTTTTTTATAAAATTCCTCGAATGAATTAAATTATTTTAGAAAATTGTAATAAAATTCTAAAAAGAATTTTATTACAATTTAAATTTTTTTAAAAAAAAGTTTTAATAAAATTCAATAAATAAATGTTTAATTTCAATTATTAAGAAACACGATTATTTTAAAAACTTGAAAGAAATTGTTCATAAAATACAATTACTTTCAAAATTATTTCAATTAAAATTATTAAAGAAACTCCATTATTTTTAAAAAAAATTCAAATAAATTCTTCAAAAGAATTTAATTAGGATTTTTTAAAATTTTAATAAAATTTTTTGTGAGAATTTGATTATTTTCATAAATAATAAAATTCTGCGAAGGAATTCAATTATTCTCAAATTTTTTGATAAAATTCTTTGCAAGAATTCAATGATTTTTAATACATTAATTTTAAAATTGAAAATATTTGAAAGGAAAAAATATTAAAAATGTAATAAAAAAGCAAACAACTAACTTCAAACTGCGAACAGATTACCGGAATACAACGATTATTATTATTAATTTTGTAGGGGAGAGTCTCCAGTTGTGAGACACCTCTAGTTGTGAGACAGTCAATTTTTTTTAACATGCAATATTAAAAAGCCGATTGGTTTATATAAAAACATTTCTTTTTATATGAGCCAACTTTTTCGTGTACGCCGAAGCGGATATATAAACTGTTTTTGTTAAATACCAACACTGTGTGTGATAATCGACTAAAAAGCGTTTTTTCAATAAATGCAAAGTACTTTTTTTCCAAGTTAATTAATTGGAAAAGGTAAATGTAATCCATTTTCTTTTAGTGTTTTCCTTATATTTTGTGATGCAATATTGCATTGTTCCAATCTACGGTTGAAAATAATTTAATTTTCCTTTTTCAAAATAGCGCCAATTTCTGGGTGTGAGACACAGCATATCACCAGTTGTGAGACGGTGTCAACACCCATCTGGGCAGCAAAAAAATACGACTTTGCAGGCATACTATTTAAATGTTGTTTTGATTTTTTTTCTAGTATTTTTGGGCATTTCAAGTGAAAAAAAGTCAATTGATTCAGAAGAAATCAATTTTAATGCTCTTGTTGAAGCTATTAAATTGTGTTTATTTCATAGTCATATTTTGTCGAATAAATATTATTATTTAGTATATAATAATATATATTATTAATATATTTAATTATTTCTACTAAACATAACATTTTATGTCAAACTTATTAAATTTGAGCAATTTTTAATTAGTGTCTCACAACTGAAGACATTTTCTTTTTTTGAAAAAAGCGATGTGCTCGGAAAATGTATCGTAAAATTTTGTGAGTTCATCGAAACACTATACTTTCTTTCAATAAAAGTTGAGTATTTCTGTTACCTTTCGAACGGTGTATTTTATTTACAATATCGTTTACCCGTTTACAATTTACAGGTCAAAAATAAAACCCGTCTCACAACTGGAGACTCTCCCCTATATAGAAAAATTTTTCTTTTTCAAAAAAAAAAAATTCAAAACCTAAGTACATTACCTTCATATTGAGTAATATGTTCTTCTCTCTTGTGTTCCATAATCTTCTTAAAGGAATCAAAGGACATTTGACAAACTTGACAAATGAAACCTGTTTTATGAACAGTTGACTCGAGATGACGTCGTAAATGAATGCGCTGTGAGAATGATTTCGAACAAATATGACATAGAAATAATTTCCGATTATGTTCATCTATCAGGTGTTGCTGTAATTCTTTTAGTGTCGAAAATACCAGAGAACATTCCTCACATTTTTTATTAAAATTATCTTTCTTCTCGTGTTTAGTTAAGCAATGTCGCTTTAAATTTTGTCTTTGCGAGTATGTTGCTCCACAAATTTTACATCTACGAAAGAAGAGAAAATAAATATAATGTATTTCATTCGAAATATAAAATTATTATATTCTTTTTATTAATCAAAAAATTGACTTACTGATATTCTTCTTTGTTTGCCTGTTTATGAGTCAATTTGTGCCTCTTTAAATGTGTACTATACAAATATGCTTTATCGCATCCATCAACATTGCACGCAAATGGTCTCTGGATAAAAAGAAAATTGGATTTTTAGATGTCAAATTAATAGACATTAAAATAAATGTTAAATAAATAAAGAATACAAAATAATAAAATGATAAAAATAAAATAAATTCTACAATTTTTAACTAAAATTCTTTTTTAAATCAATTATTTTTAATAAATTTTGAAAAAATTCTTCTTGAGAATTTTCATATCCACTTGTTTACAATTCAATTTTACGTGAAATTACGATTATTCGGAAATTCTTCAATTAAATATATATTAGAAAATAAAAACTTCGAATAATTTCAAAGAAAATTCAATTAAACTTTTTCAAAAAAATTAATCTTTTGAAAAATTTAATTTAAATTGCATTAGAAGTAATTGAATTCTTGCGACAAATTTTACCATAATTTTTGAAAAGAATTGAATTTGTTCAAGAAAACTTCAATGTATTTTGTTTAAATAATTGAATTCTTTAAAGAAATTAAATTAAAAATATACTGAAAATATTTTAATTCTATAAAAGGAAATGTTACCAAATTTTTTTAAAATAATTGAATTCTTTCGAGAAATTTTATTAAAATTGTCTTTGAAAATAATGACAATTTTCGAATCCATTTGTTTATAAATCAATATTATGTGAAATTTTGATTATTCGTAAATTCTTCAATTAAATATGCTAGAAAATAAAAACTTCAAATAATTTCAAAAAAAAAAAATTCAATTAAACTTTATTAAAGAAATTAATTACACAGTATTGTTAGTTAAAAATATGAAAAATTTTAATTTGAAACCTTTTCAAAATTAAATCATTTCTCAAAATTTACGCTATGATGCTTTTAATATTTACTTATTATCTAAAATTTAAACTAAAATTCATTTTTATATCAATTTTTATTAAAAAATTATACGGAATTCAATTAATGAAATACACAAATAAATAATTTATTGAATAATTGAATGTTTCTTAAAATTATAATTGTCAAAAAGAATTTTCTCAACAAATTTTTAATAATTCAATTCTTTTGACGAATTCTAATAAAATTTTTAAGAATAATTACATTTTTCGAAGAATTCGATTAAAATTTTATTAAAAATAATTGAAATTCTGCAATGAGCTTTATTATTTATGAAAATTATTTATGAATTCCTGTAGAGAATTTTATTATTTATGGAAATACATAATTGAATTTTTGGGAAGAACATTGTTAAAATATTTAAATATAATTGAAATTCTGAGAAAAGATAAATTAAAATGTCTGAAAATAATTAATTATTGGGCAGAATTCTGTTAAAATTTTTAAATATAATTGAAATTCTATGAAAAGATGTATTAAAATTTGTAAAAATAATTATTTCGAGGAATTTAATTAAAATTATATTAAAGATTATTGAAAATAAGAAATTTCGTTCGGAGGATTTTGTTAAAATTTTTTTAAATAATTGAATTTCTTAGGAAAATCGTATTAAGAATTTTTTAAAATAATTCAATTCTTTTAAAAAATTTTATTATTTATGAAAATAATTGATTTTTTGCGAAGAATTTAATTAAAATTTGTAAAAAATATTTGAACTCCTGAGAAGAATATTATTATGAATTTTTACGAAGTTCAAGTCACACAACGTTTATTAAAAAAAAATTTTATTTAATGCATTCAAGTATTATTTTTAATTTAATATTTAATTGTAAAATAATTATTATCAAAATATAAACAACAATCGTTTTTTTTCTAAATATTTTTGTGTCAATATTGCTACGTCATTTTTAATTAATTTACTAAATAAACATTTTTTTTCGTTGATCAACGTTGTGGACTTCAGCTTGGTGAATTTTTTTACTTTTGAAAATAATAATTGAATTTCTGCAATTATTTGTATCTTCTCTAAACTTCAATTTTTTTAGTGTTTTTAACTAAAATTCTTCTATAAATTCTTTATTTTTAATAATTAATTAAATATTTATATTAAAAAATTGAACTAATTTCAGACGAATTTGAATTATTAAAATTGTTCAAAAATGTAAGTTCTTTAAAATTTCTAATAAAATACCTCTCCAGTGTGCGTACACAAATGCGTCTTGAATTTAGAAGGTTTTGTAAATTTCATTCTGCAGCCAGGATACGAACATAAAATTAACCTCTTGTCGCTATTGTCAAAAATTTCAACATTTCGTTGTGTTTCATTTTCGTCTTCAGTGGAAAATTTATTTTCTTCCTCATTCTCCAATGACTCGTTCTTAATTTTTTTGTTTCCCATTGTTTTTCTTTTTTCAGTAAAAAAAAACTTGTTCTAACAATTACCAGATCGTTACTTTACTAGAAAAAACGAGATTTTTTTTTACAAAATACACTATTTTTATTATTATTTACCAAAAAAAAAAGAAAAAAAGAAATGAAAAATATTTTTATTACTTTTGGAATTTAGTTTAAAATTGTTTTAATTGAAAAGTTTGGCTATCAATAAAAGCAAAAAGACAGTGTAAAATAAATAGAAATTTAGTTGGAAAATAAAACCTATTGACAAAAATATACCAAAGTGAGAGGATAAATTAAATAAATTAAAATGTTCCAAAAATGTTAAAAACATTCGAACATAACCTCAAGAATGGAAATTACGATCATTACGAGGATTACGAGGTATTTCGACTAAACTCATTAAGCAATAATTTTCACGTCCACTTAATAACCACATTGCATAATTTAATCAATTTAACACTCGAGAACAATATAAATATAACAAATGAGAAAACAAAAAGAAAAAAATATTCGCAAGTTTCGCAAAACAAAGCTAGGTTATATTGTCACATAGTTTGAAAAACGTCTTTTAGTCAAAATTTGTCCGTTTCTCTTAATCTCCACATGCGAACACTTTCATCAATATCTATTCAATTTAAATAAACTCTAAAAACGAAAATTATAAAAATTGTATCACATACCTTCACGTGTACGTGAAGTTAGCACTCAAGCCATGAAATATATGATTCTTTTCAATTGGAAAGGATTGGTGGTCGTTTGGTGATCGTTAGGTGCTACTTCTCAACTTTAGGTGGTCAAAAATAAAAAAAAAAATAGAAACTTTTCAATTTTAGAGTGCTAACTTCACACTTGCACTCCAGTTTTTAATATTTTTTAAAATTTCTTTTACGTATCGTTTGGTGGTCGTTTGGTGGTTGTTAGGTGGTCCTTTTTAATTATTGGTGGTCATCCTAATAATTAATAATAACATTTTAAAAAAATGAACACGCAGGCGATTTTGTTCAAGTTCGAATGGCGCCAAAATTTAAATTAAGGAAAGCTTATTACACGTTTAAATTAAACAAAACCTCTGATTAACTATAATAATTTAACTAAAATTTTCAGATAATTTAAGTTTTATAATAATATTGCTCTGAATATAAGAAAAACTATTAAAAAACATTTTGTACATAGTTAAACTTTTACTATATACTTGTTGGATTAATTATTTCCAATCACTGCATTATTGAATATTATTATTATTATTAATTATTACACATTTATTTAATATATGAATGTTTTGTAGAGTGCCAAATTCACGTTTGCATTTTTTTAAAAATAATATTCATTTTTTTTAAACAACTTTACATCAATCGTTTGGTGGTCGTTTGGTGATCGTTAGGTGCTACTTCTCAACTTTAGGTGGTCAAAAATAAAAAAAAAAATAGAAACTTTTCAATTTTAGAGTGCCAAATTCACACTTGCACTCCAGTTTTTAATATTTTTTAAAATTTCCTTGACGTATCGTTTGGTGGTCGTTTGGTGGTTGTTAGGTGGTCCTTTTTAATTATTGATAGTATGTAATCCTTTTTATTTAAAATGTCAACTTAAAAATATTATCTATTAGATAACTTACAATTGTTGTCAAATTTACATACACATTTTCAATAACTTTTTGTTACCTTTTTCAAATTTGCAAATAGTTAACCTAAAGTTGAGAAGTAGCACCTAACGATCACCAAACGACCACCAAACGATTGATGTAAAGTTGTTTAAAAAAAATGAATATTATTTTTAAAAAAATGCAAACGTGAATTTGGCACTCTACAAAACATTCATATATTAAATAAATGTGTAATAATTAATAATAATAATAATATTCAATAATGCAGTGATTGGAAATAATTAATCCAACAAGTATATAGTAAAAGTTTAACTATGTACAAAATGTTTTTTAATAGTTTTTCTTATATTCAGAGCAATATTATTATAAAACTTAAATTATCTGAAAATTTTAGTTAAATTATTATAGTTAATCAGAGGTTTTGTTTAATTTAAACGTGTAATAAGCTTTCCTTAATTTAAATTTTGGCGCCATTCGAACTTGAACAAAATCGCCTGCGTGTTCATTTTTTTAAAATGTTATTATTAATTATTAGGATGACCACCAATAATTAAAAAGGACCACCTAACAACCACCAAACGACCACCAAACGATACGTAAAAGAAATTTTAAAAAATATTAAAAACTGGAGTGCAAGTGTGAAGTTAGCACTCTAAAATTGAAAAGTTTCTAGATTTTTTATTTTTGACCACCTAAAGTTGAGAAGTAGCACCTAACGATCACCAAACGACCACCAATCCTTTCCAATTGAAAAGAATCATATATTTCATGGCTTGAGTGCTAACTTCACGTACAACCGGCAGGCACAGACTGAAGTTGTCAGCTCTCCGCTCTTCCTTACCAACGATAGTAGAACAGTGCTACCAACCTTACTCTGAGTCAACAATGGCGCGAAATTCAAACGCATTGTGTCATGACAACCTTAAAATAACACCTCAAATAAAAAAAACCAATAAAAACAAACAAATGCAAAGTAGGAACAGTTCACAGAGCAAAAATAACATGAAACAATTTTTATTTTTTATAAGTATAGGAATACGATAACGCATATATTTATTGCGATAAAATAGAAATATAAATGTGGAATAGGTAAAACTGAAAGTTGCATTATTATTAATTTTTTTTTAAGTATAATAGACGTGGGTTTTTGTAAAGGTTTTTCTACAATATAATACAAAAGTGACATGGCACGTTCACGCAGCATTACAATACACATTTTACGACAAAATGAAATATTTTTCATTTTTCTCAATATTCAGAAAAGGCAGATGTTCGCTGGCGTCGTTGTCTAAATTTTCAAGACTTATCACATAATTCGCTCAATGAACTAATTATTAATATTTTTATATTATGTATATTTGCAAAAATAAGACGCGCGACAAATTTTGGATTAAATTTGGCATTTTTGGCAATGAATAATTATAATTTATTTCCATATTTTTACTATCTATTTTTGAAAATTAAATTATTCCTCCTGTAATTATTGCAATATCATTACAATATAGAATATAGTAATTAATTATTAATAATTACAATAAAAATTTGCGAAAAATTTTTTTTAGCTGCTTTTGAATTCGGTTCCTTGTCAGAAAATAATTTTTGTCTTTCAATCCATAAATTCAAGGGAATATAATGTATATGTACTATTGAGGCGCATGATTATTCCCGAAATATTTTTTGAACAAATAGTTATTTGATATAAAACTATACTTAACTTAAAATTTACATAATATGAACATTATTTGTCATAAATTTCATTGCACACAAAAACCATTTAACATAAATTTCATTTGGTATAAATCCCATTTAAAATAATTCTCATTTGACATAAAGTTCACTTGATATAAATTTCATTTGACGGATAAGTCATTATTACACATAATTCTCATTTGACATAAAAATCATTTTACACAAATTTCATTTTACATGAAAATGTAGGCGCGAATTTCAAAATTGTCGAATCACAATGTTGTTGATAATATCTAATTGGTTACTTTTAAAATTCGCGCCGATATTTTTATGTAAAATGAATTTGTGTAAAATGATTTTTATGTCAAATGAGAATTTATGGTTAATGGTTTTATGTCAAATGACTATTATGTCAAATAAGATTTCGGGAATAGTCATGCGTCTCGTACTATTTTGTCTTTTTTTGATCTACATTCGCTTAATTATATTAACTACATTGTGTAATTTTCTTCTTGCACGAATAGCGTAATTTCTAGATTATCGACCGAGTTGTCGGTATTTTTTTTTTCTCGAAGTCGATATTTCGTGTGCATTTTTGAAAATACAGAGTCACAATAAACGCTTTTTAGACCTTGACATTTTGTTTTTTCTGTAACAATTTGTAGTAAAACAATTTTGAAAATTGATTTTTATCGACAGAAAAACGAGTGTTTATCTACAGTAGGTAAAATTCAATTTTGCTACCAAGAGAACATAACCTCAAAAATAGAAAACAAAAATGTTTAAAAGTACTTTTGAGGATATGTTTCTCGTTTAACGGAACTGATGCATTTTTTTTTCTTTTAAAAAAAACTGTATAATATATGAATATAACGATATTGACATTTAGGATATTAGTAAATATTTGGCTTAGGGGCTTCAACACCTTTTATCTCACAGCAATAAATAAATATTTATCTTCCTATTATAATAATATTTATATATATAATATGATAGTCAAAGTTTTCCAAGAGAATTTATCACCCAAAATGTGTTTTACATTATTTCAGAAATACGAGTGAACAAAAACAAAATGTTGATACTGATTGTAATTTTTCTTTTTTTAAATTGAGCAGATTTCTGCAAAACTTCCTATACAATAAATTGTATTTTGTATGCTTTTAAGGTTATGTCCAAGAGAAATGGCGCAAACGCGTAATTCCCCTCATGCATGGCCTTAAGATGAATTATTTCCAATTGACAGAATCTTAAATTAAAAATTAAAGTTATTTTATTTAAATTAATTAATTAATTAACTATTAAATTCAATTAAAACAAAATATTCAAGTCCAAAACAAATTAAATGAGAATTTTAATAAAAAGAAAACGATTTTTTTTGCAAAAATTTCAATAAAAATTCATAATTATTCATTAAATAAAATTTGCTTTTTAGACTAATTTTTCATTAATTTTTAATATTTTTAAAATATCAATTAATTGAATTAATTTACTTAATTTTTAATTAAATACCTAATTAATTAAGTTTTAATTATTTATTTATAAACGGGCCGAGTTTTAATTAAATAGTTAATTTTTTATTAATTAAATATAGTTAATTTTTAATTTTAGACCAAGTCAAATGGAATTCGACACCCTTAAATTAATATATATATATATTTATATAAACATAAATTATCTATAATTTTCCTTGATTCTATTTTTAAATTCGATAAAATATTAGTAGATCCTGATTGTAATACTTGCATTCTTTACAAAACGGAAATAAATTCAAAAACAAAAAATTTACAAATTTGAAAATTATATTAAATATATTATCCTCCCATTACTTGAAAAATTGTTAATAAAATATAAATTCAATTCGATTCATTTTCAGCGTCAAACAATAAAATTAATTAATATATTAATTCAGAGAAAAAGGAAATTTCCCCAAAAAATTTTTTTTTAAATTTACAAAGACAAAATTAAAACTAGAAACATTAGGAAAAATATAAAATAAAAACTCTAAAATTTAAAAAATAGAGAAAATATTCGAAACTAAAAAAATAATTTGAAAAAAAATTAAAAAACAAAAATTGCATTAATAATTTTGGAAGAAAAAATTAAGAAAAATTCAATAATGTACAGAATTATAATATTATAATTATAATTTGTCCTGAGGAAAATATAGAAAATTAATTTTTTACCCCTTTTTATACAATCTAATAAATAAAAATTTATCGGAATTCTTTTTTTGGTTCATTACGAAACAAACAAAAAATGAAAATTCTCAAATGAGATTCATTTTTTTCATTTTCACATTTACATATATTATTAAAAAATACGAAAACTATATAACATATAATCTAAATAATATTCATATAAGAATATACTACAAAATAAACAGAATTAAAAACGATAAATATTTCTCTTTCTACAAAAAACACTTTGCACATTATGTTTTCAATATTTTTTTTGTCTTCCTTTTCATTTTTCTTAATAAATTATTTACAATTAGATTTCAGTCCGATAAAAAGATAATATACAATTGTATATATAATATATAGAAGAATTTACTAATTATAATATAATATTATATGGGCTTGGAAAAAATTTAAATACTCTATTTGAACAATTTTGTCTATTTCAAAATTATGGTTTTTCCCCTGTTTTCTCTCCTTTCTTTGTTTTTGTTTTTTTGTAAATAACAATAATTATATTTTAGTAAAAATTGTAGAATATAGAAAAATTACTAAATTGTTTTTTCTAGAGAAGCGAGAAATTTTTTTCTTTTTTTTGCGAAAGGGAATAGACAATTATTGAGTATTTAATTAAATCGATTAATAAATTAATTGCCATTCATTAATTTTCGGAAAATAATTGTAATTGAAAAACAAATTATTTAAAAAAAATCGAAAATCATATTAATAAACATATTATTCTGGTAATTTTTCTTTTAAAATGTTATCGATTTTGAAATTAATGTATTGATAATCATTGAAATTAAAATTTCTGTAAACAATTAAATCATTTCGTGGAATTTTATTAAAATTGTATTGAAAATAATTGAATTCTTCTAAAGAATTTTATCAGAATTTTTGAAGACAGTTGAAATCTTTTAAAAAATGTTGTTAAACTTTTTAAAAAAATAATTGAATTCTTTCTAAAAATTTTATTATTTATAAAAAATATTAAATTTTTCATTCATTCAATGAGGAATTTAATTAAAATTGTATTTGAAATAATTGATTTCTCACAAAAATTATTAAATATCAAAATATATGAAAATAATTAAATATTTATGAAAAAAAAATTTATTAAATTTTTTGAAAATATGTAATTAAATTCTTTTGAGAAATTTGATTATTAATGAAAATAATTGAATTAATGCGAAGAATTTTATCAACATTTTTGAAAATAATTGAATTTTTGTGAAGAGTTTTATTAAACTTTCTCATAATAATTGAATCATTTCGTGAAATTTAATTAAAATTATATTGAAAATAATTTAATTGAATTTCGAAGAAAATGGAAATTGTTACGAAGATTTAATTAAATTTTTTAGAAAATAATTGAATTCTTTCGAAAAATTGTTTTAAAAATTAAAAAAAAAAATAATTGAAGCCTTTCGAGAAATTTAATTAAAATTGTATTAAAAATAATTGAATTCCTGCAAAGAATGTTACTATTTATAAAAATAATTGAATTCTTCCAAATAAAAAATAGATTTAAAAAAAGACAATAATAAAAAATAGAGTAAAAAATATTTTTAAAAAAATACAATGATATATAAATTAAAAAATAGATTAAAAATTAAAAGGAATAGGTTAAAAATAGAACAAAACATAGTTTTAAAAAAAATTCGATTACTGAAGAAAAAATAAAATATAAATTTTTGGAATTAAAAATCAATTTAGTTTTTCGATATTTCGATGAAAGAATAAAATCAATGTTATTAATAATTGATTTTTAAAAATTTTATACATCAACTGCGTTGAATTTGAATTATTGGCTGAAAAATATCGACTTAAATTGAATTCTCTTATTAATATTATTAATCAATTTAATTAACTTTTCATTAAACTTTTTCAATTTCGGACTATTCTTCTTTTCCTAGATAATGCATATTTTTAATAACTATTTAAGAGCGAGTGATAAAAAATAAATTTCTCTCAATAGCTGTTTTTTTCTAACCAAAGAAAAAAATCTTTAGACCGTTAAATTAAAAGACCCATTATTATGATTTCGATTTTTGCAATGTTCTTTTTTTTAATATAATTTGTGCGTTAGTGAGAAACGTTTTTTTTTTTTTGCTCCGGGCGTAATCACTTCAGCACTTTTTTTTAATTCATTATTATTTTTGACTATCTCGTACGGCAAGCAAATGTTTTTCTATTACAATTATATTTTTCTTACGATTTTTCATGAAAAAATCTTAATTTTTCAATTCGATGGTTGTCTCACATATTCTGAATTTGATCAGAATTTTAAGAATTTTTTTTTACCTATATTTATTTTTATATATATACGAGTTTCGCTATTTTTTAAGCAGATCTAGAAGAAAGAGAAAAAGGTGGAAATTAGCAAAATATTCTGTTTTAAAAATGCATTTTTTTTAGATGATAGAAAATTCAAATAAAATAAATTAAAAATTAATATTTTATTATCTTGTTTATTATTTTTACTTGTCAAATCTTTTACTTTTTTTTGTTAAATTGCTATTTTTTCTATACTAAAAAAAGAAAATCAAACTTTTAAGTATTAAATACATAAATAAAAAATATTGTTATCTAATAATAATAGTAAATAATTTATTATTATTAAAGACTTTTAGTATAATTCGTTAAATAAATAAATAAACAGTGATAAAAATTTTAAAAAAGTATATAAAAAATGAAATAAAAACTCACCACATTCCTTTGGTTTCAGCAGATCCGTTCCAGACCTTAATAAAATATTGTACAAAGAAGACGACGACAATAACAATAAATGTATCTATAAAATTTTTCAACATGTTAATATTATTCTGGTTGTCTCTTAAACCTCTTTGTCTTATTGCAAGTTGTTCGATTAGTCGTTGAATTTGGTTTAGTTTCTCACTGTGCTCCGTTAATCTATCCTCCATTCCCTTCACCATGCCTGCGAGTCTGTAAATCATTATAAATATTCAATTAATATCCAAAACTTTAATGAAAAAAAAAACTGATTCAATTTACTCAATTACCAAATTTTATCTAATTGACAACGAAAAAATAAATAAATTTTTTTTTCAAATTTAGAAAGTAATTCATACAGAAAATCTTAGTAATAAAAAAAATAAAACTATTTTTTTTAAATTTAAAAAGTAATTCGTACAAAAAAAATGAACAAGAAAAAATAGAGAGAAAAAAATACAAAAAAAGAATTAAAAAAATAATAGAAATAATAAATAGAATAATAGAATAGAATAGAATAATAGAAAAAATAAAAAAAAAATAGAAAAATAGAAAAAAGCAAAAATTAGCAAAAATACCTTAAAAAACTCTAAATGCTAGAAAATAAATTTTAAAAAATACAAAAGAAACGGAATAATAGAAAAATAAGAAAACCAAAGATAAAAGCTTAGAATAATAAAGAGAAAAGAATGAAAAAGAATAAACAAAATTAACGTGAGAAAGAAAAGGAAAATAACATGTAACATATTCTTTACCGAATTGCAGATCGTCTCCGTTTGCCAATTGATTGACTCGAATCGGAATGAGCTTCCGCCGATGAACTTCCGGAATCGTGTGCCGTTTCCGTAATAGGAATATTGCTGGAGAGTTGGCGCTTCGACGATTTCAGGACGGAGAGTGATGAACGTGATTCGGCCTGAAGTAAAGGCATCTGAAAAATTAATAATTTTTTTATTGCCTTTTCAATTCCACTTTTTATTTTTTAATCTTCACTTAATGTTCATAAATTTTTTTTTACTGATCATTATTATTTTTTTTGTGGTTAAATACATTTTTTTTGAAAATTATTTTATTGTTTATGACAAATTCAGGGCTCGAACCATCAGTAAAAGTACTTAAAAATACGGACTTTACAAACCAAAAATAAAAAATTATGGACCAATTACTGACAAAAATATAACCAGTCTGAGTCAAATAAAAGTGATTGATTTCTTCATGTTTTATAATAATTAAATTTGGCAAATTGATAAAATCATTATTTTATATTATAAGAAAATTGTACTTCTTCAATAGTATATTGTGCAACACCTTTTGGTTTTGGTAAAAAAAAAGAACAAATACCTACCTATGTATATCGACAAAAAAAAAACTCAAAATTTTAAGAACTTTGCCCACTAGTGCAGCATAGTACTGTTTTGCGCCTATTTTACAGGCATGTAAATTATTTTCATCATTTTAATTTAATTATTATTTTTAAGAATTATTAACTAAAATTCTTCTTTAAATCAATTAGTTTTCGAAAAAGTTCTTTGACAATTTTCAAATCCATTTATATACAATATTCAATTTTACGAATTTAAATTATTCGTAAATACTTCAATTAAATATATATTAGAAAATAAAAACTTCAAAAAATTAAAAAAGAAATCAATTTAACTTTTTCAAAAAAATCCATTTAAAAATTCAATTATTTCTAAAAATTCACACTTTATTGCTTTTAATATTCAATTATTAACAAAAGTTTTAATTCAAATTAATTTTAAAATTAATTTTTATTAGAAAATTCTACTAGAATTCAATTATTTAAATACAAAAATAAATAATTTATTGAATAATTGAATGTTTCTTAAAATTCAATTCTCATAAAGAATAAATTCTTTATGAGAATTAAAATAAAAAAATTTTTAAATAATTGAATTCTTTCGACGAATTGTAATAAAAATTTTTAAAATAATTACATTTTACGAGAAATTTTATTACTTAGAATTAAATTAAATTATTAATTAAATTATTAATAATTGAATCCCTAAAAATAATTTTATTATTCATCGATTACTCGGACATTCTTCAATTAAATATATATATTAGAAAATAAGAACTTCAAATAATTTAAAAAATAAAATTAAACTTTTTCAAAAAAATTTATTCTAGGTACAATAATTGTTATCGTTAAAAATATAAAAAATTTTAATTTTTAAAGATTTTAATTTGAAACCTTATCAAAATTCAATTATTTCTAAAAATTCACGCTCGAATGCTTTTAGTATCTAAAATTTTATCTAAAATTAATTTTTAAATAAATTTTTATTCATAAATTCTTCAATTAAATCTATATTCGAAAATAAAAACATCACAAAATTTAAAAAAAATTCAAATTAAACCTCTTCAAAAAAATTAATTTCAAAATTCAATTATTTCTAAAAATTGATGCTATATTGCTTTTAATATTCAATTATTATCTAAAATTTCAAATGAAATTCATTTTTAAATCAATATTCATCACAATAATTCAATTATTTTTAAAAGTAAAAAATTTCTTCAGGGAAATTCCATTATTTTAAAAAATTTTAATAAAATCGTTCGCAAGAATTCAATTATTTTCATAAATAATAAAATATTTTTTAGGAATTCAATTATTTTCAAAAAAGTTTAATAAAATTTTTACAAACTTTTCACAATTGAATGATTTTCAATATCTACTATTTTCATAAAATTTCCAAACAGAATTCAGTTATTTTAAAAAAATTCTTCATGAATAATAAAAATTTTTCAGGAATTCAATTACTTAAATTAGAATTTGCGTAAAATTAGTCGAAAGAAATCAATTATTTAAAAATTTTTATAAAATTCTTCTCAAGAATGACATTATTTTTATAAATATGAGTTAAATTCTTTCATGAATATTAAAATTAATTGCAGGAATTCAATTTATTAAGGGCATTTGAACCATTATGACGTCACAATTTGTGAGAAGCATGTGTTTTTAAGCTGTGACGTCATAATGGTTCAAATTCCCTTAACAGGATAAGAAAAAAGTAAATATTTTTGATGAAAATTAGCAAAAGTCAGGAATAAAAAATACAAATTATAAAAATAATTATTTAAAATTAATAACTGATAATAATATAATAATAATTTTATACTTGGGGTATCTAGAAGTAAAAATAAAAATGAATTAAAATAAATTTGATCAAATATCTTTTAACAATATTATATTAAAATAATAAATAATATTAAATTATGGACACCAACCTTTAGACTAAATGATAAAATTATTTAGTTAATTAAAAATTTAATTCAATATAATAAATTGTATATAGAATTAAATATTGAGAATAGGAATGCGTCTTGTAAATTCTACATAGGTACCTAACCGTTAAAAAGTTTGACATTAAAAAAAATAAAAAAGGCTAATAACCCACAAAAATTAATTTTCAAAACAAACAAATGAATGCAGAAAATTTGCTAACGGAAAGGAAACTGACGATTATTATAATGTATAATAATTGAATTCTTGCGAAGGATTTTATTAAAATTTTTGTAAATAATTGAATTATTTTTTGAAAAATTTTATGAAAATTTAAATTATTATGAAACATGAAGACATCGATCACTCCGAGTCGAGGACTCGGACTTGTCGATTTCTTCGTGTTTTATAATAAAAATATTCTTTTAAGTTGCTGAAGTTCAAAAAGGTTTGAATTAAAAATTTGTTGAAAATCTGAATTCCTACGAAATAATAATAATGATTAAATATTTATTTAAAACAGAATTTATTGATGTTAAGAATAATTACATTTTTCGAGGAATTCGATTAAAATTGTATTAAAGATAATTGAAATTCTGCGATGAATTTTATTATTTATGAAAATAATTGAATTATTGCGATGGTTTTTTTTAATTTTTGAAAATAATTAAATTTTTATTATTTTTTGAAAATAATTGAAATTTTGCCAAAAATTTTATTAAAATTTTTGAAAATAATTAAATTTCGGAGAAGAATTTTATTACTTTTAAAGATAATTGAAATTTTGACGTGAATTTTTAAAAATTGTTGAACATAATTGAATTTCTAAGAAGAATTTTATTACTTTTGAAAATAATTGAATTTCTGCAATAATTTGTAACTTCTTAAAAATTCTCCAAATTGTATCATACAATTTACGAGCTTTTCGTGCTTTCTCAATCAAATTACGGACTTTACGGACCTTTTTTCAAAAAAACTAACTTTTACGGACCTTTAAGGGATTTACGAACCCTAGTTCGAGCCCTGCATCTTGTAGAAAAATATTTCTCAATTAATTCTTTTTTTTGTTACCTGTGTTTGTGGATCAATGGAGACAATACTACCGGTACGCATAATTGGTGTCTTGTGTCTAGTTTTTGTGCGAATAATATAATCCTGTTCATATTGCACTAAATCATTTCTAGGATCCCAAGGACGAGTATCTGCATTACGATAAACCCATTGTCCCGTAATTATATCCTGTCAAATGACAAAAATTATAAGTGAGTCACATTCTTTCTCAAGTAAAAATAAAAAAAATATCTAAATTAGATGGATAATATAAATAAAAATAAATGGAACTTTGTAAATAAAAATTATAACGACACTCCAAAAATTAAAATTATAATAATGAAATTATAAATTACAAATTCCAAAAGATAAATTAAAAGTTCAAAAATAAAGAAATACAAATTCGAAGTGTTTAAAAATATATAAAAGAATTTTCAACCTGTACAAAATATTTGGGTATCCACTCCTCGCATTTTACTTTTCTCTCCTTTGCGCGTTCTCTTTGGGCTTCTTCCAATTGCGTTTTAGCTTCTGTCGCTGCCACTTGATCATCATTATTGATGGCGTGTGTGACGGCCAACCAAAGTCTTTCACTTTCCCATGAGCCTTGATTTTCCAAAGGAACAGTAAATTTCTTTAAACGATTCCATCGAACTTCCGGCGTTGGATTAAAAAACAAATTCTCTTGCTGTCAAAAAAAAAAAAATTCATTTAGTAAAATTTATTTTATTAAGTTCTCCAGGGTGACCGTTTATTCCATAAAAAAAATTTACGGTCATGAATTATCAGCTGATAAAAAATTATTAGAATTAGAAAAAAAAAATTTAACGTCCTTTTTTAAAAAATTATTCGAAAACATCAATAAATTCTGTTTTAAATAAATATTTAATCATTATTATTATTTCGTAGGAATTCAGATTTTCAACAAATTTTTAATTCAAACCTTTTTGAACTTCAGCAACTTAAAAGAATATTTTTATTATAAGACACGAAGAAATCGACAAGTCCGAGTCTTCGACTCGGAGTGATCGATGTCTTCATGTTTCATAATAATTTAAATTTTCATAAAATTTTTCAAAAAATAATTCAATTATTTACAAAAATTTTAATAAAATCCTTCGCAAGAATTCAATTATTTTTAATATAATTTTAAGTAAATTCTTCGAAAAATGTTATTAATTCAGAAAATTTTTTTTAAATTCTCCGAAAAAAATCAATTAACAATTATCAATTATTTTTAATAATATTTGAAAAGTTTCTAGAGAAATGTTCCACGCCTAAAGAAATATCTAACGAAGAAAATGTCACTTCGTTTTTGGTTTTATCGTTTATAAAAAGTTTGGAATCGATCTTACCACCGAAAATGGGCATTTTCGAAAATGGCATATATCGCCGCCATTTTGAAATAAAAATGAAAAAAATTTTTTTTTACAAATTCTGAAATAAATTATTTATTACATGTAAAAGAAATTTTTAAAATAAATCTCATAGTTATTTTAATAATTACTAAAAAAGCTTTCTTTTTGCCTGTTTTAAACTGGAATGTCCCCTTAAGAAGAATTTTACTATTTATTATAGAGGTGTGCAAAAAGCTCGAATAGCATGGTCGAGCTCGAGCCGGGCTGGATACTCGAGCATTATAAATTTTTTAGTTACTCAAAAATATTTGAGTGCTCCAAAAATTCAAGTGCTCAAAATTATTTTAGCTTTTGTACTGCACGTGTCGGATGGAATTTGGTTCAAGTTCGGATTGATTCTGCTCAGCTCTGCTAGAAAAACGAAAAACTTGAAAATACTCGATCGAGCTTTTTGCACACCTCTACTATTTATGAATATAATTAAATACTTGGGAATAATTTTATTAAAAATATAGTGAAAGATGTTTATTGTTTTTTCAAAAATCAATCCACATTTATTTAAAAAGTATATTATTAAAAATGTGAAGCTTTTCGTCCATCATCGATGGACCTCTTCAGAAAATATATGAAATCTGCAAATTATTTTCTAACATAATTTAACGGCTCACAAAGGTCATTGAAATTCTGCGAAGATTTTTATTATTTATGAAAATAATTGAATTCTTGGGAAAGAATTTTATTAAAATTTTTGAAAATAATTGAATTATTGTGAAGAAATTTATAAATACTTTGTAAATAGATGAATTCATGTGAAATTTTTATTGTTTATGAAAATAATTGAATTGAATTCATGCGAAGAATGTTATTGAATTATTGCGAAGAAATTTATAAAAAAATTTGTAAATAATTAAATTCCTCCGAAGAATTTTTATTGTTTATGAAAATAATTGAAATTTTGCCAACAATTTTATTAAAATTTTTGAAAACCATTGAATTTTAAAAAAGAATTTTATTATTTTTAAAAATAATTGAAATTATGACGACAATTTTTGTTTACTTTTGAAAATAATTGAATTTCTGCAATTATTTGTAACTTCTCAAAAATTCAATTTTTTTTTAGTGTTTTTAACAATCTATTAAATAATTCAATTCTTTGACGAATTTTAATAGAATTTTTAAATATCTACATTTTTCGAAGAATTTGATTTAAAAAAATTTTATTATTTATGAACATAATTGAATCTATGTACAAAATTTTATTATTTACGAAAATAATTGAATTATTGCAAAAATAATTAAATGTTTTCGTAGAATTTTATTCAATTTTTTTTTTAAATAATTGAATTCTTTTAGTAAATTTAATTAAACTAGTAGATATTGAAAATCATTTAATTGAAGGAAATTGTTGAAAATAATTGAAATTTTTCCAAGAATTTTATTAAAATTTTTGAAAATAATTGAACTTTTCAGAACAATTTTATTATTAGAATTATTAGAATTTGAATGATTAAAATTTGTCAAAAATCTAAGTTCTTTAAATTTTTTTATTAAATTCATTCAAAATTGAATTATTTTCTAAAATTTCAAATTAAAACCTTTTGAAGTACATAATAAAATGTTCTATCCATCGGGATTTTGTTAAGCAACATCTTATCAACAATTTAGACGAGTATCAGCTCATTAAAATAATTAGAATTAAAAAAAATAGATTGAATAAAAAAATTCTCTGTCATTTCCCGGTTTTCCAGGCTTTCAAGTCCAGTGGTGACCCTGGATTCTCAACAATCTCTTGGACGATCATTTTCCCATTTTTATATGATAATAAAAAAAATGGAAAATGATCGAATAATTTAATAATTATTTATTTATTTATTTACAAAGTGTAGAGAAAAAAAACTTACCCCAGATCGTTTATCGGTAATCATAATTTGTCCATCCCAATAACCACTAATATTGGCGAGAGTCTCCTTACCGAGTCGTATTCTTCCAACGACTTGATTCAATTGATCGGAACCTCCTAAAAATGGCTGTAAATTAAAGAAGAAAGTATTTATTTTGTACTTTTTAATTTTAAAAAGACAGTAAAGAGAAAAATTACTTCTACTTCCTCGTGGAGGAAGTATTATTACTTAATTAAATAGAATGTAATTAAATAAATTCTAATTTAAAAAAAATAATTAACATTTATTTATCTATTATTCATCCAATTTTTATAGATATGTTAAAATTTTCTATTAAAACGGTTTTTATTAGAAAAAACAAATATAAAAAAAAACATTTTATTTCATTTATAGAAAATTTTAACATTTTTATAAAAAAAATAGAAGGCAAAAAGAAAATAGTGAAGGTAACCTTTAATTTAAATTCTAATTCCGTGTGATAACCGGTTTTTTCGCAAACGATATTAATTTTTCCTCCAAGTTCCATTGACAATGTACCCATAAGAATTCCCTTGCAATGTGCATAAGGAATCGTCATTGTATAATCTTCTCCTCGCGGTAACATTGTTAAAATTGCAGTTCCGTCCAAAACTGCCGACGTCGAATTACCTGTTAAAATCGAAATTTCAATATAAATAAATTATAAATATTCATAAATATTTATTAACTTTCAGCCTTTCGGTCCAGATAATGAATAACTGGGACAAATTACATACAATTATTTATTTGAATTATTATAAATAAATAAACAATTAATATGAAAATATTAATATGTAAAATATGAAATGTTAAAAATTATGAATTATTTTCCTTGTCTTAGCAATAAAAGGATAAAAGATAGAATTTACATTTTTGGGAAAAATATTCATTTGAATTTCTGAATTATTAAAATTTTTGAATTTAAAGAAATATTTTTTTCAGAAATTAAGAAGTAATAATTAAACTTTTTTCTAAAAAAGAATTTATGTAAAAATCGTTTTAAAACTGACCGTAAAATTTCGATTTTGCTATAATTGATGCGCTGATTGTAAATCCATCTTGTCGGTTAGTCACGTAAAAACCAGAAATTGGAGGATGATGTGACAACTAAAATTATAGATTAATTGTAATTAGCATGTGAGTTTTAACTAAAAAAATGAAAAGTAAATTAATAAATTCGAAAAAATGAATTGAGAAATAATAATAATAATAATATATATATATATATATAACTTTGTAACTTAAAAAATATTTAAATTAAACAAATTCAAAAAGTCTAACATTTCTTAAAATATAAATAAAGTAAATTTTATAAAAATACAAAAGAGAAAAAAAGAAATGTTTTTAATAAAAATTTGTTTTAAATTGAATTTAAAAAATTAAAAGTGCAAAAATCGAAAATTTCCCTAATGAGACATGATTATTTTGTTTCCTATTTCGATGATATCAATTTTATTAAAGAAAAAATAATTTCCAAATAAAAATTAAAAAGTTAAATAAGTGAAAAATTTTAATTACCTGTTCGGCTAAATAAAATGTACGTGAACCATTTGAATGTTGCCAGTAGCAGCGAAATGTTTCGCCAAGAAGTGGATTGTACGGTTTCTTTAGTCCTTGTGGTTTTTTATAAAATCCAGACAAATACCATTTCACCACCAATTTCATTCGAGTGAAAGCATCATCTTCCAAAACTGCTCTATTTTAATCAAAGAAAAAAATTCAATTAGTATTTTCAATAAAAAAATTACTACAATAACAAAAATTAATAGAAAAAAATAGTAATTATCCCTAAATTTTATGATTTCTCCTATATTTTCTCACCGTTTTAATTTAATTATTTATCGTGTAAAAAATTATATACCTTTTTTCTACAAAATACCAAAAATTTTCTATTTCATTAAGAAAATGATTAATTACGGTAATAAGAATTAATATTATTTAAACACGAACATGATAGGAAGTCAATTAATTACCTACTTTGAAATAGAAAATTAATTGTACCAACTGTGAAGATTAATTATCTTTATCTTGAGAATCAATAAATTAAATTATTAATGTAAAATTAAATTAAATTTTTTAAAAATGTATCGATGAATTAAAAAGACAAACGAATTTCATAAAAAGGTAAACAAATTCATTTTAAAAAAAACTTGTAAATAATTTATATTGTAAATTATTTATATTTGATTTCTTATTCTTATTCAATTACTGAAACTATTAATATTAATGTCTCGATAATTAGTTTTTAAAAAGTAGCTTTAAGACCGAAAAAAGTAGCTATTGAAAAATTAAATTTTACAACTAAAAAAACTCGTTTTAGACGATTAACAAAAATCAGAGAAATTTTATTCTGCATTAATTCAATAATTTTCTAAATTTTAATTTTAAATTCTCCGAAAATACAATTGTATATAAAAAAAATTTTTTTGTAAGTAAAAAAAACTTCTTCGTAAATATAAAATTTATTTCAATATTAAAGACAAAATTTACAAATAATTGGAAATATAATTTAATCTTTTTAAATTATATTTACGGAAATTTAACTATCTTCAGATAGTTAACTAAACTATCTTCAGATAGTTATCTTCTTCAAATTTAACATTTTAATTGCAATTTTTCAAAAGCCAATTTTTTTTCATAATTTTCAAATTAAATTACATTCAAAACTTGAATAATTTCTGTTAAATAAATTATTTAAGTACTTATTAATTTTTCTACAGGAATTAAAATATTATACCTAAGTAATTACTGTTTTAAAATCATTTTGAAATTTTTAAAATATATCTAAAAATTACAATTCTAATTCTTCCAAAATTCAATAATATTTTTTGTTGAAATTTATAATTAAAATTATTCAAAGCTTTAATAATTTTTTTGAGAAAATAATAAATTAATAATTTTTTTAAATAAAAATTTAAATATTATTGAATTAAATAAATATTATTACAGTTTTACAACAATTAAAATTTTTAAAGATGTGCGATTCTATGGGAGATTTTAGTTTTTTCGGAGTAAGTAAACCAATTGCAATGAAACTTAGGAATTTTAATCTACACATAAAAAGAAATATTTCCACCAAATATTACGTCAAAATATTCAGTAGTTTTTGAGATGTCAAAATTTTGGAAAAATTTTGAAATCGTTATATCTTCTTTCCAACTTAACCAAATCACTTAATTCTTTTTGGAAAAAATTCAGCATAAACATAATATAAAAAAAATTTCATTTTTTTATGTTGAATTTTTTCCAAAAAGAATTAAGTGATTTGGTTAAGATGGGAAGAAAATATAACGATTTCAAAATTTTTCCAAAATTTTGACACCTCAAAAGCTACTGAATATTTTGACGTAATATTTGGTGGAAATATTTCTATTTATGTGTAGAATAAAATTCCTAAGTTTCATTGCAATTGGTTTACTTACTCCGAAAAAACTAAAATCTCCCATGGAATTGCACAGATTTTAATTTAATTAAAATTCTTTTAGAAAATTTTATTAAAATAGTAAATATTGAAATTAATTGAATTTTGGAAAAATTTTTGAAAATAATAAAATACTTACTGTGATAAAATATCGGCATGATAATAAGAATCGGCGAGTTTCTCTAAAAACGAACGTGGCTCGAGGATGAACGTTGGAAGAACAACTTTTGACAAATCCATTCCAGGTCGAACTTGTTTCATTAAGAACCAAATTAATGATTTTTGCTCGTCCTGTAATTCGGCAACAACTTCTCCAGCCTAAATTAAAAAGAAATTGGTGATAGAGAAACAGAGATAATTTTTCATAAAATAAATAAAATTTAATAATAAATTTAAAAATAAATTAAAATAAAATATTTTTATATACATTTTTAAAAAAATTTGACATTATATTTTCTAAATGGATCGAAGAAAATTGAAAGTAAATTATTCCTTTTTAGCATCGATTTATTTTTTTAGTCCTTGACCTTCGTTGTTGTTTTAAAGAAGAATGGAAATTTTTTTTTCAATTTCAGATGAAAAAAAATTTTTTTCTTTTCATCGAATTGTTTTGGTTCTTGATCTACGTTTTTAATTATAAACTTACTCGAGAATAACTGCAGTTAATAATTAATTAAGGATTGAAATAATTTAAAAAATGATAATAAATAATACCTACAAAAATTGAAAATTCATAAAAAAATCAATAAAAAAAAACAATAAGAAATAATAATTAATACAAAAATTGAAAATTAATAAAAAAAATTAATATTAATGAATAAGATAATTATAATTATAATTAGTAATATAGATCTTATTATTAATTTGCCCGGAACATGTAAAGAAGTTCTGTAATTTTGTTATTAATTATAATTATTAAAATTGCAAAAAAATCTATAATTATTCATTGTAATTATTTATTTATTAATCCTTGAAATACAGATATTATTCATATATTATTAGGCTTTAGACAGAATCATTAACATCAAATGGAAACAAATTCTAGATACAATATTCATTTAAACAGTCGGCAAAATAAATCCATAAATTGTTACATAAAATTTAACAACATCAGCATTTACTAAAAGCTTCAAAAAATGTTTTAAAATGCTGTAGCATTCACCTAAAGCTTCAAACATTATACAGCAATTTAAAGTATTTAAAACAACATCCAATTGTTCTGGAACCAAAATTCTTGAGACAAAATGTAATGAAAACAATAAACTAAAGCAACATCCAATTTATTATTTTTGAATAAAAATTTTCGAAGCTTCTGGTAAATGCGATAACATTTACCTAATGCTTTAAAAATTTTGGTAAATGCTACAGCATTTAAAAATTTTGCAGTAGCATTTACCTAACACAACTTTTACTTATTACTTTGGAACCAGAAATGATGTCGCAAACAACTTCAAATTATTATGGAACACAAATTTTTGAAGCTTCTATTTTGTTTTCCTTTAGTTTAGTTTCTAAAAGAAAGCAAAGCATTTCCCTAAAACAACATCCAATTATTTCGAAGCTTTAAGTAAATACTTCAGCATTTACCTAAAGCTAAAAAATTATACAACAATTTAGAGCATTTTAAAGTTTCGAATCAAAACTCTTGAAGTACGAAGTGAACAAAACATTTAACTAGAACAACAGTAAATTACTTTGAAACAAAGAATTCTATAGTGTTTATAATTAAAACAACATGTAATTATTATTTAGGAACCAGAAATGCTATATGGAACCAAAGCTGCTACAGCATTTAACTAACACAACATCCAATTATTTTGGAACCAAAATTTTTAAAACTTTAAATAATTGCTAGAGCATTTACAGCATTTTTGAAGCTAAAACAACAATTATTTTTGAACCAAAATTTTCGAAGCTTGAGATAAATACGACAGCATTTACCTCAAGCTTAAGATAATTGAATAAAAATAATTGGATGTTGTTAATATTAACTAATATTAATAATCAAAATTATCGTTCTAGCTCCACAAGTATATTTATTTTCGACTCAGAAAAACTTTATCAATCATCTCAATCAACAATTCACCAAGAAATACAACAAACGATAAACCAAATCCAATACCGGTAATGTACATCAATAAACTTTTAAAATGAATAATCTCATTCTGCTGAAATTCCTCCAGATCCACATTTTTAATAACATCCTTCACATAATAAACCGATTTCACTTTCCATCGATTCGAAAGTCCATGTTGTTGTATCAACAAAAGTAAATATTCAAACTTCTCCCTATACGCTGAACCTGGCTCAAGAATAAATACTTGCAAAGTTGTGTAAAAATTATCCGAAATTAAATTCATCACCTCTTTCTCATTTTTTCTATTATACTTCAACAAATATAATTCGGCAATTGTTCGTTTCATAATACAAACTAATTGTCCCCGTTCAATTAAATTCTTCACACACAATTCATGAGATGGAAATATTTTCTGTTTCCTACGAATCATCTTTATTAAATCATAATCCCGTGTTGAATGAATAAAAGTCAGTGTATTCATTTGTGTACCAATTTGAAGATCCGATTTATTTAGATCCATGATATTGGTGATTTTAACTTCACTATCGTCGCTCATAATACTGACATTCGTTAGTAATGCGAAAATTTCCGAGGAGAAGAAAAATCCGACCAAAATCATTGTCATAAAAATAATTCGTTCGGATAAAATTTTCGGCTCATTGACAATTGAATATCCTAATAAAATTTCAATAATTGTTGAAGAATTGAAGAGTTTCGTATCAAATTTGTAGAAGTTTTGAAGAATTCGAATTACTAGGATGATGAGGACCACTAATGGTACTACGTAAAAACCGGTTACTTTCATTGATGTTGAAAGTGAATTTTGGGAATTGGTCAACTTTGGTACTAAAGCAACAAGTTGTTCAAAACCAAATTTTGCTGCTTCGGTTAAGTTCGATAGTTCTTTTTTATTGTGGGGCAATTTTGAGCCAAACGTTATTAAGGTACTGACACCAATGTACTGCAATTGTCGGTCGAATAATTTGTACATTAAACCAGTTGTTCTGCTCGTGTTGAATGAAAACAGACCGAAACTATCTTCCCACGTTGGTATTAATACCGGTTCAAAGTTCATTCGTTGGGCAAATATTTTTCCCTTATATGAATCTCTTCCAAATGTTGTAATAGGATGATGTGTTGAATTCCTAATTACGTACGTCAACGGTGGTAGTTGGAATATTCCAATTTTCAATGGATAACGATTCATATTTCGTAATTTGTCAGGAAATAAAACAGATTCTCGACTCAACTTTCCACTCTTGTAGCCGAAAAAAGGATTCAGTTGATGGATCCTTGTACCGTTTTTCCTAATTTCAATTATGGTGATATCAATAAATTGCTCGCTGTTCCACATTTTTCGGAGAAATTTCTCCTTATCATTCTCAATTGTTTTCGAAAACAGTACAATTAAGCATCTTGGACGTATTTTCCATTCTGCCAATCGGACAATACTCAACATGGTTTCTTCGACTTTTGAAAAATTTTTACCATCATTTACAATTATAAACAATGTCGTATCGCGTGAGGTGTCCAATGAATCGCTATTGAAAAATTCCATAAATTCGTCGTCAGTAAATTGGATTGTATTCAATACCAAAGAGGGTAAATTTTGTCGAATGCATTTGAGAAGGGAAAACACATCTTGCTGCCTAACTCTCTCGTTATCATCATCATCTGTAATTGTCACCGTTTGATACAAATCGAAATTAATCGACTTTACGATAGTATCGAATTCCGAAAAATTTACTATTTCGGGACTATAAATACCATTTGGTAAATTTGTGTTTTCACTTTTAGCACAAAGCAAGGGCAATAAGCACAGAATTATTTTCATAACTGACATTTTTAATTCTTCTTGAAACTTGTATTTTGATTTTTGATCTGAAATTTTCAACTTCCAGTGATGATGTGACAGTGGGAATGGAAAACACTTTTTCGATACAGAACTTTCTGTACTTCATAGCCGGTTGTTAACAATTTTGTAGCTTCATGAAACTGCTTATTTTCTACAATAAAATTTCCAAGAAAATGTTCTAAGAAAAAGGTGCAGTTTCAAAGTGTTGTTTATGAACTATAATATTCCTTAGATGATTATTTACTTGGATGATGATTTGTACGACCAAGACATATATTTAGATGATGATATATACTACTAAGATTTCTATGTGTGGTTTAAGTTCAGGGTTGCCACGCTTTTGCGTGGCAACCCTTTTCAAATTCCCTGACTTTTCCTGGTTAAAAAACGGAATTTTTCCAGATTTTTAAAACGAAGATTATTCGAAAACATCAATAACTTCATTTTTAAATAAATATTTAATCAATATTTTTTTTATAGAAATTAAGATATTCAAAAATTTTAAATTCAACAACATAAAGTTCATTGTGAATTTTTAAATTCTTTTATTTACAATTTAATTTTACGAAATTTCGATTATTCTGGCATTCTTCAGTTAAATATATTAGAAATTAAAAACTTCAAATAATTAAAAAAAATTTCATTAAACTTATTGCGAAAAATTAATTCTATAGAATTCTTAATTAAAAGTATATGAAGAGTTCAAATTTTCAAAGATTTTAAATTGAAATTCATTTTTAAATTAATATTTATTAGATAATTCTACGAGAATTCAATTATTTAACTATAAAAATAAATATTTTATTAAACAATTGAATTTTCATAAAGAATTTTATTAACAAATTTTTAAATAATTGAATTCTCTTGACAAATTTTAACAAAATCTTTATGAATAATTGCATTTTTTGGAAAATTTAATGAAAATTGTATTAAAAATAATTAAAATTCTGCCAAGAATTTTATTAAAAGTTTAGAAAATAATTGAATTTTGGAGAAAATTTTTATTATTTATAAAGATAATTGAAATTTTGACGATCATTTTTGTAAATTTTTAAACATAATTGGATTTCTGCGAAGAATTTTATTAAAATTATTCTGAAAAAAATTGAATTGTTACACAAAAAATTGCATTAAAATTTTTGAAAATAAATTTATTCTTTAAAGAAATTTAATTAAAAATGTAGATATTCAAAATAATACTTAAATTCTAATAAATAAATTGTAGCAAAGGTTATTCAAATTTCTTTGATATATTTTAATAAAATTTTTAAGAATAATAACTTTTTCGAGAAATTCCATTCAAAATGTATTAAAAATAATTGAAATTCAGCATTGAGTTTTATTATTTATGAAAATAATTTGCAAATAATTGAATTCCTGTGAAAT